TTGACAAGAAATTCAAGCGTTTCCAAATCCTAGAAAAGGAGACGCCCTGGCAGCAAAGCAGAGGGCAGTCCGGACCCGGCCCACCCCACCCTCCGCGTTCCCGGCCCACCCCACCCTCCGCGTTCCCGGCCCACCCCACCCTCCGCGTTCCCGGCCCACCCCACCCTCCGCGTTCCTGGCCCAGGCCTGGCCCCTTTTCAGGCCACGCCCTTGCCTGCTGGCCCCGCCCCTACGTCGCCTCAGGCGCGCGCCTGCGCAGTTCACTGCAGACGCGGAAGTGGATTGCCCGGAGCCAAAGTCACGGTGAGGCGAGTGCGTTTCCGTCTTTCTGGTCTAAACTTGCTGTTCGCGGCCTGCGTCCACCACACCTGAGCCCAGGGTCGCTCCGGACGTTGAAGTCCCCGCACTCGCTCTTCCCGCCCCCAGAAATCACCGCGTGGCCTTCAGACATTCCTGCCCTGGGGCTGGGAATCCGCGTCCTTTTTGGTGTCAAATCGCGCGGAGGCGGGTCCCAGCCCTGGCCTTTCTGCCCTCGGGCCGTGTACACGCCGCCTGCCGCGTCCTTTTCCTGCTGAAAACACCTCCCTGGGCCCCGGCCGCCCTGCGCCGGCTGAAGCCCTCAGCCGCAGAGTCTCTGGCGACGCCCCCGCGCCTCCTCCGCAGTGTCACCCCTGGAGGGCAGCGTGGGGCCCCGGGACTCCGAGACCCCGCTCTTCTCCTGAGATCCCTCCTCGCGTCGCCCTCAGCATCCCCTTCGCAGTGCCTGCTTCCTCCCTGACCCCCGAGTCGGGAGAGGGGCCCGGGGTCCGCCCTGTGACGCCCCGTGGCCCTCCGTCCCGGTCCCCCCACTGCACAGTCCATCTCTGTGCACTTGCGGACTCGGGGGTCGGAGACGGAGCAACGGCGCGAGAACTAGAAATGTTAATAGTTATCAGACAGCGATGCAGAACCGTAAACAGGTGGCAAATGGAACGGAGGGCAGAACTTGCAAACCTTAAGAGTGAAAGAGAGTAAGAAATCGAGAGAGTAGCAAGGGGAAAACAGAAAATAGAGAAAAGGGGGTTCTGCAGAGTGTGGAAACCCACCGCTGTGGAGTTGATTCCGACCCAGCGCCCCTAGAGGACAGAGTAGAACTGCCCCACAGGGTTGTCAGTCTTCACGGAAGCAGACTGTCCCATCTTTCTCCCATAGAGGGGCTGGCGGGTTCCAACCACCTACCTTTTGGTTAGCAGCTGAAGGCCTTAACCACTGTGCCACAAGAGCTCCTTATCCAGAGAGTGAAGGGGAGGGGGGACTTGGTCCCCAGTAAGGGTGGGGGTAACTAGGGGATACTTCAGACGGCTGGGGAGAGGATGGAAGAGTTGGTGTCATGGCAGACGGAACAAATTGGTGCTGGAACAGAAAGGGGTGCGAGAGGTGACACAGAGGAAGAAATGAGGGAGCTGAACGAGTTGGGGGTGCAAGAGAGTGCGGGCCAAAGGGATGTAGCAGGGAGAGCAGAGGGGGGACCCGAGGTGGGAGGAGAGAGAAGCAGGAATACTGTATGTGGAGATGCGAGACCATCAGAGGTTGGGGGAAAGACTGACAAGATAGGAAGCAGGCAGGGGTGGGGCTGAACAGGTGGAGGGGGAGGAGGAGGAGAGAGACAGGGAGAAAGGGCAGGGGAGGAGGGGGAGAAGAGCAGGCGCAGAAATCGAGGAGGGCAGGAAACAAAACAGAAGAGGAACAAGTGAAAGACAGAGTGAGAAGCACATGGTCATGGAAAGAGAGGGGCCGGAACAGGAGCAGAGGGCAGCTGATGTCATACGGATGATTAAGGTGTGCTACGTAGGCGCCTTGATAATTGAATCGATCCAAAATGTGTTTAAATTACATAGAAGAGAATAAGGATGACAAAGCTGCTGTCTGTGAGGCTGGTGTGTTTTATAATGATCGGTGTCTGAGGTGACTTCCAAGGCAGCCCTGTTCTGCCACCGGGCAGGGTTACCCTGTGACTTTTACTCACATGGACGGGTGGACGGATGAAATGGGACAAAAAAATTACTGACGCCCCGGTGACAGGGCGTTAAGCATTGGGCTGCTAACCAGAAGGTGGCCATTTTGAACCAACCAGCTACTCCGCAGGAGAAAGGGCCTGGTGACCTGCTCTCATAAAGATGACAGGCTTGGAGACCGCCTGGGGCAGGTCTGCGCCATCCTGTAGCATCGTAAGGAGTTAGAATTGAGTCCGTGGCACACGACACCGGCAGCTGGTACGTTCCCTTTCCACTGCTGTAGAGTTGAGTCTGACTTCTAGCAACCCTTGTTTCCAGGTAAGACAGACTAGGAAGAAGGAAGCGGCAGTCCTCTTCTGGAAAAAATTACCCACTGAAAACCTTACATACAGCAGTAAGATGGACTGACACAGCGCTGGAAGACGGGCTCAAGCATTAACAGTTGTGAAGACGGTGTGGGACAGGGCGCTGTTTGGTTCTCTTATCACTGTGAGCCCAAACCTAACAACAGCAGTCTTTACAGAAGCAACCTACGGCATCTTTCTGCAGCAGAGTGGCTGGTAGGTTTGAACCAGGCCACTGACCGCTTTAACTGCTGCACCACCAGGGCACCTTAGTACCTTTGAAAGGAACACTTAAAGGTTTTTTTGTTGTCTTTAATGATTTTACTTTTATTTTAATAACTCATTTTCCCCCCAAGCTTATTGGGATAAATCCTTGTTTTCTGAATGTCCACTTTTCTCTAAATACTCCTTAACTTCTGAAATGAGCTTTCTAGTGTCTTGTAATGAGCTCATGCCATTCTTTTCTAAATATGATATATTTCTCAATTTTTTTAACTTTAACCTCTGGGTTCATTAAGTTTTTGTTTGTTTGACTTTCCAAATTGTTTTCCCCTTTTAAATGTGCATGATTTTAAGACTCTCAGTGTGTGCTTGGTAGGGACGTCCATGACGTTTTGTATTCATAGTCAAAACCCACCTGACCCAATGAGGCTCATATCCCATTTGCCTCCTTGACGTGAGCTATTCATGTAGGAGCTGGGAGCTACCGAGTAGACATTCTCCTAAGGTCCCTCTTGTCCTTCCTGTGTGAGTGGGCAAGGACGGGCAAGGTAACATGGGCCCTTGTTCCGACAGGGCCCTCTGTTCCCCGTGAAGGAATGGGCTCAGAGCTAATGTCCAGCGCTGGCCCTCCTGCCCTCAGCAGCACCTCACCCAGTTGACCACTCTCTGTGCACTGTTTTCTTGACTTTTAGGATGTGACAATATTCTTTTAATGTCTCCCTCTCTGTGCTGGTTTCCATTTTCTCTGTCCTCCCTGATCACGTCTGAGTTTTCTCCTGAACTGCCTGGTCCCTGAGCGTGGGCGCACCCAGGGTGCAGTCCTTGGACAACTTCTCTGCTCTGTCTGTACCCACAGTCTTGCCTTGTCATCTCATCTCATGGCTTTAAAAGCCTTGATGTCTCCCAGTTTCACTTCTCCAGCTTGACTTCTCCCCTGAACTCCAAACTCAGGTGTCCAGCTGGCTCCTCAACATCTCTCTTGTGGCTTTTCAGAGCCATCTTCACCTTAACTCTTTCTCAACTCATACATTTTCTGACCCAGGGGTTTAGTGGGAAGCTGCTGTTTCACTTTCAGTGAATGCTGCCCTCTGGTGGGCCTGTGTAAATGCCTAAATCTGAAGAAACAAGCCTAATCCCACTGATCTCAGCAACAGAGATCCCTTGGGACATATGTGTCCCACTAATTATATTTTAAAAAAATCCATATTACTTCCCACAAATAAATTTTTTTCCATTTAATTCAAAATGCCTTCCATTACTGAAAACACATACTTTCAACAAAAAATTGAGTTCAGAAAATAATTCAGTCTTGAAAGGCTTGAACCCTAAACATGTGTCCCCAGCCTCTTCCAGGTCTCCGTTTAGGGTGTCTCTGATCTTCCACTGACTCAGGTGAACATCTCAGCATGTTTTTTTAAAGATATTATGTCACTTGCGTTTTAACTTAATGATAAAGAGGAAATGAGATGTTAACTTAAAATAGTTGAGAGAATACAGTGTCTAGAGTTCTTTTTCAGTGAGAGAGACAAACATTTGAAGAGCACAGACTCGCCAAATCTTCTGTCATTGCCTCCAGCCTCACTGGTTTATTTCCCTCCCTGGAGCCGGAATAGGAGCTCTGCTGGTGCTGTGGTTAAAGCATTGGGTGCTAACCAGAAAGTCAGTGGGCCAAACCCACCAGTCACTCCATACAAGAAAGATGAGTCTGTCTGCTTCCATAAAGATTGACAGCCTAGGAAACTCCATGGGGCAGTTCTACTCTGTCTTCTAGGGTCTCTGTGAGTCGGAACCACTTGATGGCAGTGGGTTGGGTTTGGGTTTGGAGCCAGGATGCCTATGGCCTCAGCCTTCACGGGGGTGTTCCTCTACCTGGGTCCCTGGCCCTCACATTCACCCACAAACACCCCTCCTCCCTCCGCTCTTTGTTCTCATTTCACCTTCTCAGGGCAGCTTCTCTGACTCCCTGCCCCACCCTTGGCCTGTGCCTGTTCCACTGTCTGGATCCAGAGACAGCAGGACTCTGGGTAACAGCCGAGCTGCAGGGAGGGAGGTGTGCCGGGCTTGCCTCCTCTGAGGGCCTCAGCTCTGCCTGGGGCGTGGGGTCCGGGCTGGTCGGGGACCTGCAGGGGGCTCAGGCCAGCCCAGATCCCCCTGCTGTAGCCAAGGATGGGCTTCCCCAGGAGGGGGGGGCGGTACACTTACCTGGTGCTCTCCGTGTAGGAGGGTATCGTCCCCGAGTCCCTCCTGGTGCGGCGGGCAGCAGGAGCCGTCTGTCAACATAGTGAGGTCCTCCCTGTACGTGTGGCCTGTGACACGGGATAGGGGTGTGTTGATTGGAACCATAACAGCTCACTGTCCACACTCAGGATTAACTTCTTGTGACTGATCTTGCCTGAGAAAGAAGCCAGGAGGAGGAAGAGGAAGGAAAGAGGCATCCAGAATGGCTCTGTCCCAGGTAACTGTCATGTTCCCAGTTGGTGGCTCTGTCCCCTCCTCCCTGACATACCGTCCTCTAACTCTGCTGGGTCCTGCCTGACACGGTCGCTTGCACTCACCCAGGGCTTCCCTCATCCCTTGTCCTCTCCACATAGAGTACCTCCCCATGACTCAGGGACATGGGACCTGGGAAGACGCTCTGTTTGGGATGTCCTGGGAAGGGTCCCCACCAGGCCTGGGTGGGAGACAGGGCATGGACCCTGTGGGGGCAGTGAGGGTGGGCAGATTGGGGCATCCTGGGAAGGCTTCCCACCAAGCCTGGGTGGGAGACAGGGCATGGGCCCCATGGGGCAGTGCGGGTGGGCAGATTGGGGCATCCTGGGAGGGGCTTCCCCCTGTTGTGACCCACTGGGTTTTCATTGACTGATTATTAGAAGTAGACAGACAGGCCTTTGTTCCTGGAGCAGAATTTGGGGCGCCTAACTTGCACCATTATCTTACATGGATCTCTCAGCATGCTCACGTCAACCCCATCGGTCCGTGTACCTGTCTCTCACGTTGCACGAAAATAAGAGCTCTCCCTCGTGCACTTAGTGAGATGTGTCTCCTACTGCAGGGACTACTGACCTTCAGGGATGTGGCCGTAGAGTTCTCCAGGGAGGAGTGGGCGTGCCTGGCCCCTGCCCAGAGGGCTCTGTACTGGGACGTGATGTTGGAGAACTACAGGAACCTGGTCTCGCTCGGTGAGCACAGCTTCCCTCCAGAAGTCAGGGTCTCCCCTTGTGAATCTTGGCATTTTCCCTGTGAGTGTCTTGGAGCCCCTGCCCTGCCATGTCTGATGCAGTTTGAAACCTGTGTTCTTGAGGCAGGGAGTGAGCTGGATTCAGAAGAGAAAAGCTCCCTCACAGAGCATTTGGTCTTCAGCCTTCCCCTCTCTTCCCATGACCTTCCCACTTCCCGCTAGAGTCGTGCTGGTTCTAGAGCTCAAAGCACAAAGCCGTGTGGCTAAATTTCACTGTACATATGTCTCTGACTTTCCCCTTGGGCTTTTGATTGGTGATCCCTGGAAGAGAGCTAGGTATCTGCCTATTTAACACATGCCCTGAGCATCCTAAAAAAAGCCGTCAGTGTGTAAGTTTGGGGATGTTTTTCTGGAGACATCTGCAATGCTCTAAGATGAACAAACTTAGATTGTAAGTTTATATCTTAGAAGAGCTCCAGCACCTCATGTTTCCTTTTCTGATAAACAGGACTCTTCTCTTCTGAGATGAGTCTTCTCTCCATGTTGAAGACGGGGACAGAGCCCTGGACTGTGGAGAACAAGGGGAAAATGGCGAAAAACTCAGGTAAGTTGGTGAGCAGTTGGGGGGGGGGGCCTCTGGTAGACCCTGACTGTGCCACCTGTGTGTGGCATTCCGGAGGAACTGAGATCACCCTGACACCAGGGTGGGTGGCAGGTAACCAGTCCCACTCCACATACCAGCTGCGCTGCTTGCAAGTCTCAGCATCCCTTCCCAGCTGCTCACGCAGCCCCCCAGAGGCTGAGCCAGGAGGTACTTGCTGTAAGCCCGCAGTCCACCTGACTCCACTTCAGACCAGCTGGCTCCAACACTGGGGTTTTCCTCTACCCCCTCAGGGTGTCAGCCACACACTCGGGAGTCCACACACTTCCTGCTCCTCAGACTGGCTGGCTCCCCCTGCCCCCTGGGATCTGATAATTCGCTGAAATGGCTCTCAGAGCTCCTGGGAGAGACCATCCCTGCAGTAACAACTTCAGTATGACAAAAAAGGACACAAATGAGTTGACACCCAGAGTAAGGTCCAGGAGGGATGCCCTGCAGAGCTTCCATGTACTCAGAGTCATGCTTGCCCTCCCAAGGGCAGAGTTTGCTCACCCAACTAGGGAACTCCATGGAGGCGCCATGTTCCAGGGCTTTGATAAGCCAATCTGCATGTGCCTTGTCAGTTACCCAGTGTACTCTTTGTCCATTACCGGGCAAGGCTCCATAGTCTGCTTGGTGCCTTAAACCAAAACCCATTGCCGTTGAGTTGATTCCAACTCACAGCGCCCCTAGAAGACGGAGGAGAACTGCCCCACAGGGTCTCCAAGGCTATCGTTCTTTAAGGAATCAAAGCCCAAACCACACCCACTGCTGTGGAGTCTATTCTGACTCACAGCGTCCCAGAGGACAGAGTGGAACTGCCCACAGGGTCTCCAAGGCTGTCAATCTTCAAAGAAGCAAAGCCCAAACCACACCCACTACTGTGGAATCCACTCTGACCCACAGCGCCCCTAGAGGACAGAGTGGAACTGCACCACAGGGTCTCCAAGGCTGTCAGTCTTCACAGAAGCAAAGCCCAAACCAAACTCACTGCCGTGGAGTGGATTCTGACTCACAGCGCCCCTAGAGGACAGAGTGGAACTGCCCACAGGGTCTCTGTTGTTGTTGTTGTTACGTGCTGTCGAGTCAGCCCCAACTCATAGCGACCCCTCCTTGGGTTTCCGAGGCAGTATCACTACGGAAGTAGGATTGCCCAACCTTCCTTCCAAGGAGTGGCTGGTGGGTTTGAACCGCCAGCCTTCTGGTTAGCAGTCAAGTGCTTTAGCCACTGTGCTACCAGAGCTCCTACAGGGTCTCTAAGGCTGTCAATCTTCACAGAACCAAAGCCCAAACCACACCCACTGCCGTGGAGTCCATTCTGACTCACAGCGCCCCTAGAGGACAGAGTGGAACTGCACCACAGGGTCTCCAAGGCTGTCAGTCTTTACGGAAGCTGACTGCCTCATCTTTCTTCCATAGAGCAACTGGTGGGTTCAAACCACCAATCTTTCAGTTTGCAGCTGACCGCTTTAATGTGCCACCAGGGCTCCCCTGGGGAGTCAGTCACATTAAGGAAATACCCTAAGTTGTTTTTGCAAAAACCAAGGGCAGAAGGCCATCTGAGGGAACTCATTGTTCCCCAAGCCACCCTCTGGCCTTCTGGTCGTGGGTCCTTTCATACAATCAGCATCCGGAGGGCCCCTTCCTCCTCCCTGCACATTTGGCCAGCAGAGTCACGGACTCGGTCCACATCGGTCATTAGCACTTACTTCAGTCCATCCTTCCTTGGTCCGGCAGAAACTCCTTCCAGGCTGAGGACCCTAATGCCTACTGCAGGCTTCCTCTGCTTGCCAGTCTCCAAGGTCAGGCACATCTGATAGAGTTGGCCAAGAGACCCTCTCTCCTGCTGTGACCCTTCCTTGAGGTCCTCATAGTCACACTTACAGCTTAAGAATCACACATAATACCAGGTAGGCATTGCTTAACATCCATCAGACAGCTTCTGACTGCATACGCATCCATGGTCCCATAAGGTATTTTTGTTTCTTTGCTTTGCAGAGGGAAGGCAGCGCTCTATTTTTTTTTTCGTTATTATTATTTCTCCCTAATGGCTTAAAGACCCCAAACCCAGACTCTTGCAGCACTGGACCACGGGTGGGATACAGGCAGGCGAGGCAGAGGCCATGGCCCTGGGCACAGGCTCTCGGCCTTGGTCTGGTGGGCCTGCAGTGGCTGTGGTGAGGGCTGTGGGCCCGGGCTGCTGCTGCTGCTCAGGTGAGCGCCACAGCAGGCAGGGCAAGGCACTTCCTGTCACTCCACTGCCCCCGCTGCTGCAGCAGCAGCAGCAATGACGAGGACAACCAGATGCAGGCTCTCATAAGGTTGTATGTGACATTCACACAACGTCCAAATCACTTAATGCCCTATTCCACAGCACATATCACGGGCGTTAAGTGACGCCTACCTGTAGTCATAGTAACATCTTCCTCCACCCTCTCTTCCCCAAATCCAGCAGGAAAAGAGGGGTCTATTCAGTAAGCATCCTTCCTTTTGCCCCCTCAGTTTGAGCATGAGCACTCAGGAAGACGTCATTATGCCTTTATTCCCCAATTCAGACAAGCAGAGTGTAAGTTGCACGCTCATAGTATTGCTCTACGGATAAAATCATGTTCCCAGGTCAGAGGAACCAAGGCACCTTCTGCTCCAGTCTTTCCACAGAACTCAGCACCTGCGTGCACCACCCAGCAGGCAAGCTCAGTCCAGGCCAGTGATACCTCCCTGGGCCGCCAGAACCAATCTGACTTACCCACTCTGTGCAGGGCCCTCCTCCCAGAGCCTGTGCCTGCCCCTTAGCCACTGTAGTCGGTCTGTTCTCTTGGCACACGGAGCTGTTCTTCCTGACCTCATGCCTCAGACTCAGCCTGTCTCGCCCGTCTACGATTGGCACTCACAGACCCGGGTGGTCACCTCCTGCGAGCTTTCCATGATGCCTGCTTGCTAATTCCCATTCGCTTCTTGCCCTGGGAGGGACTTCTTCTGATGGGAACTGCCAGGACCTGCTTTAGCGCAACCCCGGATCTCTGGCTGGCTGGGCCCCGCACAGACATCCCTTTACTAAGGCAGCAACTTGGAATTCATCCCATCCAATGATTGGGTTTAGGGATTTTTCTTCTCTTTCATTCAGAGTCTTAGTCAAAGTCCAGTATCTGATAGTAACTGTTTCTTTAAATGTTGGGACTCCCACGGTTGTCTGCGTAAGCCACAACCTTCACTCCGTGCAGGGCTGTTGGGATTGAAGTGAACAACCTGTGGGGTTGCCATATCTTACCATGTTCCATTTAACATACAATTAGTCTTGCCTGAGGGACTGACTTAGACACTTTATTACAACCAGTTTCTCATGTTCCTTTAAACAAAGCCTATTCGTTTTCCTATGGAACATTCTAGATACTAAGTATCCATTCCAATACTTAGCATGCAGATAAGCTCAACCACTTCCTATAGACTGAAACATTCCAGTTTTCATATTCTTTTCACCATCCCACCACCACCACCGCCATTTTACCCATTGATACGTTTATGGCTTCAAGGCCTTGGCTGGGTCCCACTAGGGAAACCCTGGCCCCCTTCAGTCAGCTTGGTTAGTGTGCCTCCTGTCACCCAAGCCCTCTGTTGTTGTTGTTGTTATTTGCTGTTGAGTCGGCCCTGACTCATAGCGACCCCTCCTTGGGTTTCCGAGGCAGTATCACTACGGAAGTAGGAATGCCCAACCTTCCTTCCGAGGAGTGGCTGGTGGGTTTGAACCGGCAGCCTTCTGGTTAGCAGTCAAGTGCCTTAGCCACTATGCTACCAGAGCTCCTCCAAGCCCTCTAGGTGTGGCTTCTCTCTCGCTGTCCTCTAGGGAATCGGTTTCACTGCCCGCTGTTTCCACATAGCATCTCTCACTTTCCTTGTAGCCAATACAGATAACAACAGCCGGAGTAACCAGCCATGAACCACAAGTTTCTCATCCCCTCCTCATTCATCCAGTCTCTTCCCAAACCCTCTGTCTTCATGAGTGAAGGTCGCTCTTGAAAATCCTACCAGAGTTGCCAACTGCATAAGCAAGGGGCATGGTGGGCAGATCCCACCTTCATTGTTAACTGTGTGGAAAGGATCGACATGCATCCAGTTCCCACCTGGAAATGGAGCTAGTACTAACCTTCACGTATCTTCATCCTTGTCACCAGCCACTTCAAGTGGCACTTTCACCCCCAGCACCCATGACAACATCAAGGGGTATTGGCCACAATTCCCTCTTCTTTGGACTAACCAACCCCTTGTCTCTCTCATCCCTAGACACCTGGGGCTAGCCCAGGGCACACAAGTTAAAAGGACACCGTCCATCAGGCTATGACACAGGCAGCTTCAGCCCCTGCTGGCTCTCATTGCCCTGGAGTTCGGGAATTCCCTGGAACAACTCACAGAATTCACGAGAGTACATCCTACCAATTTATTATAACCAGAAAGGGTACAAATGAAGAAACGCACAGAGCAAGGCCCAGGAGGGGGTCCCCGCACAGAGACCCCATGCCCTCAGGCGGTGCGCTTACCCTCCCAAGAGCAGCTGTTTGCGTTCTCCAACCAGATCCTGCAGCCTTGGCCTCCCCGTGTAGTCATGAGATCCATCATGCCTCAGGAGGCACCGGATTGTGCCCCCAGGTGAGCCTCTGTCCTCAGGCTCTCCAGAACCTGCCACAAAAGTCCCAGTTGCTTTCAGCATCACACAGTGGGGATGCATGATGATGGGAGCACAGGTAGCAGCTCAGATGGTAGAGAGGGAGCCACACCATGAAATATTCTTTGAGGGACTCTTCCCCACATGGAGAAATGAAAGTTGATTTCATGTGAGCTGTCTACAAAGTTTTCTTCCCCACTGTCCCCCACCGCCACCACTTAGCACTCTTGGGACATAGTAGTCTTCTGGTTCTGTAGGGAGGTCCAGCTCAAGCAGAGACAAAGGCCAAGTGTTTGTTGTGACTACAGTGTCTGATCCCTGGGAGGCCTTTGGTGGCTTGGTTTTGAGAGGGACAGGGGGAGCTATTTCTAAGGGTCCTCTTGCCTTGGAAATTTCTCCTTCTGGGCTTGATTCTGTCTGATCCCTACTTGTCAGTTCATACAGCTCAGAATGAGGCCTCCAGAGTCCTGACCCCAGGACATATCCAAGTTCCTTCCTGTTCCGTGTTCTTGGGAGACCTTCTCATAAGGTGGGAAAACATCGACTGCTCTCCATTGTATCTGGGGCCCCCGGAAATAGTACCGGGCTGTCTTAAGCCTTCTATTTCAGCCTCTCAGCCATTTCTTCAGTTCTGTTTTTCCATACCTCAGGCGTGTGTGGAAAATGGGGGAGTGGATTGGATTTTCTGAGATTGTTACTCAGCTGCACTGTAAAAAGTGTAGACAGACAGATCCTCTCTCTGCACCCCAGACCTACATGGGGACCATATCTCAGTCTTCCAGGCACAGGCAGAGCACACACCACCTTATCAAGGACCTCACACATTCTCACCCCTTTATATTACTCCAATATCTTACATTTTCCTCTTTCCTCCATACTCTCAAAGTAACCTTGGAATGCATGAAAACTTTGAGTCTTCCTGATTTGGCATTCTCCTAAGTTTCTTTGCTTTTGCTCAGAATCTTACACATTCCTAGACATCATGCCACTGCCTCTGACAGTTATTCTTTTGGTAATGGCCAGGCTCTGGTGGACTCCCTCGTGGAGGGGCTTGCTGGGTAACAGAAAATTCTGGAAGAACATTTTGATTTGTATGCGACAGTGTCGGCCTGCTCCTTTCAGAAATGCCCCTTGAAGCCACCGAGTACAGTGGTCATCGTGTCCCCAATTGCTGGGATAGAAAAGATCATGAGAACCTGACAGATTAGGGTTCCTGGGTTTTGTGACGTGTCACATCTCCCAAGGACAGCATGGCAGCCTGCATCCTCTCCCTCAGAGCTGTCAGTCCAAGGCATTGGAGTGTATCCTATGGAGAATATTGTCCAAGTTTACAATGTCCTGTCTGTGAGGCTGGTGTCCCAACATGTTCGGCCTACATCATCCACCCACGTGTGTGCCACTGCTCATGCTCCTTCAGTAAACATGATTCTGACGCATTGTATTGAGGGAGCTTCTGAAGATGAGAGATGCTTCCTTATGAGTCATTTGAGCCACTGCTGCATCCGCATTGCATGTTTTCTTGTATTATAAATGTACTTTTTAAAAAAAAAGCTTACTCATCAGTTACATATTTTTGGTGATTGTCTTAGTGTTCTGTGTTTTATGCCTGCCATGTGTGGGTCTCTGGGATCAAGGAATGAATGTTGTTTATTTTACAAGCAAATTTCCCTGTTGACAGTCGGGGCTTATGACTCAGCAGCCATTTCCCTGGAACCTGGGTGAGCTCTGAAATCCTGTGATAAGAGGGCCCAGTGACTCCTTGGACTTGGTTTCACCTGACTTAGTGCTGACCGTTAAAGTTCCCTTTTCCCATTTAAGTGATCTGGATTTTTTAAGTTGGGAATTTTGGGTGTTTTGGAAATACCCTCTTTTTACATTAAGCTCCTGTCTTGTTGGTTGCCATTGAGTGGATCCCAAGTCCCATGCGGGCAGAGTAGAACTAGTCCAGAGGGTTCTCAAGGCTGACCTTTCAGAAGTAGGCACCAGCTCTGTCTTCTCGGGCATCTCTGGTTCGGTGCGAACTGCCAGCCCTTCAGCTAGTAGTGGAACAGCTAACCGTTGTGCCACCGAGGGCGGTTAAGTTGATTTCCGTTATTTGTTGTGTGAAGACATTGCTTTTTCCCTGGTGGGGTGAGCTGAGATGAAGAACGGCCTCACGTGAGACCGTAGCTCTCAGTAATGATTGACATTTCTCCAGCGGCATTTCACAAGCCTTACCGACTTACGTAATGGCTAGGACAAAGACAAATCAGGCAAGATTCATTCTGTGGTTATTCTCCCTCAGAACCTCAGCCCAGGGTGAGTTGATGCAGGAAGCCTCCTATATACCCATGATCCCAGATGCAGGCAAAAGACAAAGGGACCAAGGGGTCTCGGGGCTTTATACCTGAGAGCGCGTGGGAAAGGAGAAAGGATGAGAGGAAGGGGCCTTGTATAGACGCACCTGCCTGACAGGCCAGTTGCCGAGAGCAAGGCTGCTGTCTGTCTCATGCTGGTTCCTCAGTTTTTCTGCCTCTGCTGCTGCTGTCTCTATGCCATCATCTCAACACAGGGATCTTGGGTCCAAGGATTTGCTCCATCTGGGCTCTTCTCTGTCTTGATGGTAGTGCCATTCTCCCCCTTATGGCTTTGAAAGGCAGCTCATTTCAAATCTAGCAGAATGACAGAACTGGCCAGTTTCCACATTAGGGTTCCATGCACCTTACTTCCACGGCCACCTACATGAGAAATGACAAGATAAAAGAGCTGAACAGATTTCCAAGAGCAGCTCGAAAAGACAAAGCCAATTACTATAATGAATGTGCAAAGACCTGGAGTTAGAAAACCAAAAGGGAAGAACATGCTCACCATTTCTCAAGCTGAAAGAACTGAGAAAAAAATTAAACACTTAATTGTACTCATGAGGGTCCTGTACAGAGGCCAGGAGACTGTGGTTAGAAAAGAACAAGGGGACACTGCATGGTTTAAAATCAAGAAGGGGGCGCATGAAGGTTTATCCTTTCGCCATATTTACTCAATCTTTGTGCTGAGCAAATAATCTGAGAAGCTGGAGTATATGAAGAAGCCCATAGCATCAGGATTGGAGGGAGACTCACTAACAATCTGTGATATGCTGATGACACAGCTTTGCTTGCTGAAAGTGAGAATGACTTGAAGCACTCATGAAGATTGAAGACTGCAGTCTGCAGTATGGATTACAGCTCAATATAAAGAAAGCAAAAATCCTCACAACTGGACCAGTAACAACAACACAGTAAATGGAGAAAAGATTGAAGTTGTCAAAGACTTCATCTTACTTTTTCTACAATCAACACCAATGGAAGCAGCAGTTAAGATATCAGATGTCGTATGTTGTTGTTATGTGC